AGAGAAATCCTCGAATAATTAACTCAAAGGGAATAGCATTTTCCCCACCAATTTGGGAGGAGAAAATTCGAAAGCTGAGATTTCCATCACGGAGCCAATAGCTATATCCTTCAAAGTATACGGATTTTTTTATACAACTCGGTGGGGATATTTATATTATTAATGAATTTATAACTTTCACAATGTTGCTGCTAATAGTATTTAAGTAATTTGTTGTTAAGTATCCCGACTACTATCACAAAATTTTAATTTAAAACGCCACTTTTCACTTATATTTATAGTAATATGCTACCCTTAAAATGTTTGCATGCGTTTGTAACACTTTAATTATACATAATTAATTATGTAAAACGCGTTTATAAATGTGTATAGAAATTTTTCCACATTTCACAAACAAAAAGAAATAATGGCCGACAGCAAGAGCAAATGTGTGTTACCATACGTTTTAAAAGAAAAGAACACCACACATAAGGCACATAATCACAGTATACCCTTTCACTACTTGTATGTATATTGAATGCATATAATAAAACTCCTCCATTTTTAAAGAACTGTTTTTAAAAATCAATACTTCGATAAATAATACAAATTTGTAAAATGAAAAATCGCGCAAAAAGTAAAAAGTGAGGTTGAATTCGACATTGCTGGCAACTTTCACTACAAATTACGTAAAAACTGTAAGCCTTCGGAGGGGGGAGTTTTCGGATTTATAATCAGGGTAACCCGCTCTGCACCCCCCATTTTTAATTTTTTTCGAAAGCCTGGTTCCGTATTGGGGGATTATAATATGAGCAAATTTCTTAAATAAGCGCCATTTATGTGCCCATTGATTAGTTTATAAATAAATACAATGGAGAAGTAATCCATTCTTTCCTTCAAAGACTGGAGACCCAGCAGTTTCCGTCTGCCAATATAGGGAGGAACATAACCTTGCCAGGGCAAGTTGCTAATAGCGAATTTGGTGAAAATCTTTTGAACTGTTTTCAATTTTGATCGTGTGCACTTCATAATATGGACTCCATATTATAGAACAGTATTCCAGACGGCTTCTTACTAAAGATATATAAAAAGACTTTAAAGTTATTGGATCTCTGAACTCTTGATTATTGCGCCTAATAAAGCCTATCATTGAGAACGATTTAGATACAATATAGTCAACGTGTTTGGTAAACGCGAGTTTGGAGTCAAATCTTTTATTTCAGTGCTCCGCTTTAAAACGCAACCATCTAATTTACAGGTAGACTTCCACGAGAACGTAACTACACAACATTTACCTATATTTAGGTTCAAACAGTTTAATGTACACCACTGCTGAAATTCACATCTAGATCGAGCTGAAGACGATAACAATCTGATAGATCACGCACAACTGAAAAAAGCTTAACATCTTCTGCAAACATCAGTCAGTTTGCAAAGTTAAAACAGTTAGGCAAGTCGTTTATAAATAAAATAAACGAGAGTGGTCAACATTGCGTACCGGTGGTATGCCCGACCATGCATTGACAGTCCCTTGAGATGGTGTTGACCCAATTTTCACAAGTAACTTTCTTTGCGTTAGAAAGCTCTCGAAAAAATCTTGCAATTTACCACTTATACCGTAACTTCTCAGCTTTTGTAAAAGTATACTGTGTTTGACTTTATCGAAGGCTTTAATTATCTTATTAGTTAAGAGAGCAGGTTGATCTACCGGAAGAAAATCCATGCTGACTATTGGATATTAAAACCCTTTCACGATCAAATAAGATCGATTGGATTATTTGATCAAATAATTTAGCTAACGTACATTGCTTAACTATAGGTCTATAGTTACAGACATTATTGCGATCCCCAGATTTATAAATCGGCGTAATAAAACATAACTTCCATTGGTCGATGAAAAATTCTTTATCTAAGCAGTTTTGGAAACGAAGAGATATAGGATAAGCTAATGCTGTAGAGCACTTTTTAAATAACATGGGTGAAAAACCTTCAGAGTCGGGCTTCGAACCAGGCTTCAATAATGAAATAGCCAGCAATATATCTTCCTCCGAAACCGAGAATCCTGTAATGGGTGAAGTTGAGGGGAGAATGGGTGTTAATAAGTCATGTTTTTCATAGACCCTCTGAAAAAAAGTTTGCAAACAAGTCACAAGCGTCGAGTGTGTTGTGAGAAGTGATGTTTTCATATTCCAGACTCGTAGGAAATCCATTAATTTTCCTTCTCGATGGGACGGACGGGTTTGACTTTAAATTGTTTTCAACTCTGAGCATATATTTTCTATATAGAGATTTATGCAGACGATCAAAATTAATTCTTAAACTATGGAAACGAAGCCTATTAACTACAGAATTAATTTTCCTTAGCTTTTTGAAGGCTTTAGTCTTTTTGTTTTTCAAATGTACAAGCTTAGAGTTAAACCAAGGCGGTTTATTTCGATTTAACAAAACACAACAAACAAACTGGAAACTGCAGAAGATAGTATTTCTTTGAACTTTCAATAAGAAATCGTTGGACAGTGTGAAAAGTTTAAAAACGACCAATCTGTAGACTAGAGAACTACTGATCCTTGCATAATCCGCTCTGGAGTAGTCATGTTCTTCTACTGGCTTAGACTTAAAAGTATTGATTCTGTAAAATTGCAATGTAACCAGGATTGCCATGTGTTGAATGCTATTATTAGAGATTGGAGATAAGCATTCGTCGTGCTTATAACGTAAATATCAATGTCTGATTTAAGATCAGCTGGTAACAAATTGTCTCCGTGAAATTGCCATTAAATATTAGGCAAGGAAAAATCTCACAGAAAAATAATTTCATATGAACCTTTCAAAATGCTTAGTGCATAGATTACATTTTCCAAGTGTTTTTTTGTAATTAGTTATATCACTGCCCGGATGAATGTAAGATATATTAACTATCCATGACTTATTATTAGTAAGCCTAATATTAACGCATCCTTGGTCCAGCATACCATCAGCCAGATTAAGACTGATTTGATTACTGAACAAGTCAGCTCTTATGGCGAGTAAGACACCACCTCCCTTTGTGTGCCCGGTGACTCAAGAGTCGTGATGTTTACCGTAGACGTAGTCATCGAAGTATTCACTTGAAGAAATATTGTCGTTAAGCCAAGTTTCAGTAATGGCAATTAAATCGTATTCATATAAAGATGTGCAGCCATAAAGCTGAGACTTTTTTTCACGTCTTACCTTCGATAAGGAATGTGGAAATAGTTAGTATTCGATTCGAGAATGTAACCTTCGCTATCCAATGTATTTTCCCTTCGTAATGAATTCGGCATCCAGCCCATTATGGAATCGAAATTTAAATGAGATTATCTTACATTTCCCTTCGGGAATGAGCTGAATCTCACTGCTTATTACTAGGAAACCCAAAATATGCTCGTAATAACTATTTTAAGCGCTTAAAATATGCCAGTAAATTCTAAATATATCGTCGCCTGGGTAAAATATTGTCATATGTTGATTTCGGCAGGTTGTGGGAAATCGCAATTGATGTTTGGAATGCAATTTCTCAAAATCGCGAAGATAGATTTTGTCTAAAGTCTCTGAAAATGTTACTTGTTCACAAAATTCTTAAATTATTTAATTTTTAATGTTTATTGCTAATTAGTTTTGAGTTTATGAAGGATTTGCTTTAGTAAAATTTTGTCGTAAGCGTCGTTTGTCCACAATTTGGCAGCCACTTTGTAAGAAATACGACAAAATGTGATCAAAATTTCTACCAAATTATCGTCACTTTTTACTCAATATCTCGGAAACTAAAGGAGGTATCCAAAAATGGAGACCGCCATTTTTAAGATATTGATTAGTTTAATATGGCTGCATCACTAACTAAATTTTTACTAAATTATCGAAAAAATTGTAGTCAATATCTCGGAAACTAAAAGAGATATCTAAAAACTGATAACACCAATCGAAAGACCTTATTTCAAAATATACATATAACTGCATCTAGAACTAAAAATCGCCCAAATGGCGCTTGCGACAATCTTTTACCCAGTACTTGCTCAATTTGTTGAGTAACCATATACATTTTTAATACTTCTATATTTCTAATAAACAATGGGCGTAGTTAACCTTTTCTTCGAGTCTCACCTTCGATAACTAATGCGGAATAGATTAGTTTTCGATTCGAGAACTAGGCCATTCTCAAGCAAAACGGAGCCTTCGTTATCCAATGTATTTTTTTACACATAAAGCTGTGTGGTATTTTATATGTTGGCCGAATCAGATGAAGCACGCTATTCGATTCCCTTTTATACTAATTGACGTCAATGGGAAATGCCAACTGATACCAAGTCCTTTTCTAGCTGGTATTTTTATCCTCTGCCACCCCCAGCGGCCGCAGTGTTTGTCATAGACTTACAAATATTGTATTTCTTTGTTAATTTTTCGTATGAATTGTTTTTCAATAATAAGTTCTTAAACTTAAAATTAATTTCTTGAAAAATAAAACTGCAATTTTGAGTATATTCTCTTATCGGATATACATATCTTCCTTTTTTCAATATATCGGCACTCTGAGATGTTGGGCAATGTACTTTGAATGTGCTAGCAATATAGAAGTGAGTAACACTAATAATAAAATAACGGGTAAAAGTGCACGAATAACTAAAATTACATATTTAAATAGCTCATTAAAAGCACCAACCTCAAATTAAGGTATTTTGCAATAATGGCTGCGTTTCTTTATACATTCCGGATAATCCCATTTCACAGCCGGAATAAACAGAATGCGTTTGAAATATACGTCAACATATCATCAGGAACGTTCTAAAGAATAAATAAACAGAAAAGTTTATTCCAAACGTTCAGAATGAATAAAGAAATTCAGCCATAAAGAACGGCTTTCAAAATATATATTGTTGAAAAAGTATGACAAGTGAGACGTTTAGGA